ATTTCTTCAAAATGCAAAACAAAAGGAAATAAATAACCAATATTGGAATGTTTCATTTCATAATCTCATAGAGAGTGTTTATGTTCACTCATTTTGCAACTTCAATCGTCCGTTAGAATTTGTGCATGGTCTTGACTGACTCAACCTCAAAATACATACAAAAGATGAAGTACAACAAAAGGTTTCCAAACCATTCCCCTCTATTAAAGTAAAAGTTAGTACGTGTTCAAACTCATTCGGCCAAAGTCTTAAATAACGAATCTAAAATAACGAATCTAAAATCTAAAATAAAATCTAATAAATCTAATAAAATCTAAATAAAATCTAAAATAACGAATCTATTCATCATTGAAAACCTCGAGCACAGCTTCGTTTTCGTTGGCAGATGCATAATCAATTGCACTCTTTCCATCTCGATCAGTGGCATTTGTGTCTGCACTTGCGTCAATCAGCGCTTTTACAACTTTGGGATTACGATTTTCTTTTGCTGCTAGCATCAGTGCTGTTTTTCCATCTTTGTTTACTACATTAACGTCAGCGCCACTTTTGATCAAACTCTGTACGACCACTTCATTTGGATTGTCGGCTGCGAACATTAAAGCAGTATTCCCTTCTTTGTCAATGGTATTAGCATTTGCACCAAACTGCAACAAAATTTGGAGCGCCTCTTCATATAGATTCCTTGTTGAATACATCAAAGTCGTCCTCCCAAGATTATCTGCAACATCCACTTGTGCACCGGAATCTATCAGAATTTGTAAAACAGCACCGTTGGGAGCCATCGCCGCGATCATTAATGCTGTATTCCCTTCCTCATCTTTCATATGTAAATTAGCACCATTCCTAATCAATGCCTGTGTGACTCTATAATTAACATTGTTACTTGCAAACATCAGAGCCGTCTTTCCTTTTTTATCGACCGAGTTAACGTCGGCATGATAATCTATTAGTGTTTGCACAACATCCGAGTAACAACTGCTCTCAGCCGCAAGCATTAAAGCTGTCTTCCCTTCTTCGTCTGCAAAATTAGGATTTGCACCAGCACTAAGAATCCTTTCCACGAGAAAACTGTTGTTGGACTTTGCCGCCAGCATGAGAGCTGTTTTCCCTTCCCTATCGCGAGCATTTAAATCTGAAACCTTTTCCAAAATGGCCAATATCAATTCCTTGTCTAAGGAGCCTTTCGATACAAGCATTAAAACTGTCCTCCCTTTATTATCTGAAACATTCACATCTGCACCTCCAACTAATAGAACGCTGGTTGAACCATGTTTGTGACCTACTGCATGCGCTAATGCAGTCATTCCTTCATTGTCGGCAGCATTCACATCGGCCCCATCAGCTATAAGTTTATTAACAATCGTGACATGATTTGAAGCTGCTGC